CTCTCCTCTCTCCCCTCCACATCGCGTCACAACTGACCCCGGGCCTCTCACCCACGCTGCGGCCCTCGTAGTAAAAATGGCCGCGCCGTGTGTGTACTGTAGTAAACAGCAGGGACGTATCCGAGGATATTTTTGTGAAGATCCCTCTCTTGTGAGATTTTATTTAAGATTTTCATTCGAATCCTCGATTCTCCATTTTTTATTTTGTTAATGGATCGATGTTAAATTGATATACAGCTAATAAATTAATAAATGACATTTCGTTTTGTTAACGAAATATGGAAATTCCTTTAAAGTACAATTTATTTCAATTTTATCTGCCATCTAAAAAAAGGAAAAGAACAATTAATACGCGTTTAAAAAATCTTACTTAATATTTCCTTTCACTTTGAATTACCAAGTTAATTCTTTGCATATTCTGGATATAAAAAAGAAAAGTATAAAAGTATAAACTTTCCATTCCATTTATAGTTCGTGAAATTATATTCCTATCCCAAAAAATTATTGTCCCGACACTCCCCAATCCCATTCGAACGAAAACCAATCTTCCACCACCCTCGCCAAATACATAGATCCTAAGAAATCCTGAAAAACATCAACCACAATAATTTAAACAATTTTTTAATTTAAACAAGAATCCTCGACGGATACGAACGACTGCGTCCCTGAATCTCCAATCCCCGTCCACAAGCGTGCACAATATAGCGTACTACGGAGCGTACTATAGCTCGTATAAGAACCGGTACTATAGCACGTATATACGCGGGTCCGCTCGCAGTTGTGCTCGTTTCGTTTCCCAACCTGTCCGCAGGAGTCCCACGGGCGCTGGTGTCGGCGCGGACCGGTCCCAGCCCTATCCGGGCATTGTTGCATCGACGCCCGGCTAAGAGAGTACTTGTTGCTTTGCGCGCAACCCTCGTGTGTCATTTTGTGCGCCCGTGTTGTTGGTTAAAAAAAAGAAAGAAAGAAAAGGAAGGAAAGGAAAGGAAAGGAAAGGAAAGGAAAAGGCTGAATCATGAGCAGTGTTACCTTTGAAATCAGCCCGTTGAAAATCGATCGTGGATGATCTCGAGGAATTGTTGGACGGTGAAGGAGAAGTCGCGAGACGCCGTGGTTCGAGGAAAGAGCGGGTCGCGCCTGTGCTGGTGGTGAGGAAGAAGGAGGATGAAGCAGGAGCAAAGGCCGAGGAGGCAGGCCCTCTTCCAGATCGCCAAGGTTTGAATTTTTCTGCAAGCTTGTATTTATAATTGGTACAATGGTATCGTGGATCGCCTCGGTTTTATATCGCCGGTGCATAAGACTTCTCTATGGCGCTGCTCGATGCGCGCTGGAATAACGCGTATACCGTTACATGTATCTCGATCCCGAGGCTGTGTACCTGTTGATTCGATGGCCAGGTCGGGTTTATTCAAAACGGATATAAGCAAGCTTCGTTTTTCGTGGATGGAGAATTTGTTGTTCGGATGGAATTTGTTCGCACAGACGAAAGAGGATTTTCACGTCGTAGATGGAATTTTGGGGACAAGGTTGTGGTTGTGGTTTGGGCTGGTTGGAGGTGTAGATGGGTTTTTCTGAAAGTGTGGAGATATGCGGTTAATATTGGGAATTTGATATATCTAGGTTTTGTTTCCGGTATTTAGATAGTCTTTTTAAATTAATTTTTAATAAGTTTCTAATTGAATAGTAGAATTTTGTTATTTCGTTATTTGTGAGATTGCAATCGATCGAAACAGTCGTTGAATATGTTTAATTCCTTTAATAAACGATAATATTGACTTTCAAAAATTTCCATTCACGGACGCGTGAAGCTTTCTCTATAAAGTTTCTCTCACAATCGGTGTCTCCGCGCTCGAATTTTTCGTGATGTGAAAACGAAACGAGCTTTAGGCTTCGAAATTATACGTGATATTATTTATCAAAAAAAATTTAATCAATATAAATTGAATTGTCAATATTTGAACAATAACTTGATTTCAATCGCACAACGAGATTACATTTAACATATAAAACTTTCGAACACAATTCGTCCATCAATTTAACAAAATAATATCGACTTTCAGAAATTTTATTTCCACACAAAATGCATAAAAATAATCCTTCGAAATAATTTCAAGAATTTCTCGTTTCTACACAATATAAACACGTACGTGTGCGAACGTGGACCCGAAACAGAGAGAACTCGAGTCGGCACACGTTCAATGGAACCCGTTCGCGGTTTCGAAAGGAGCCAAACCGAACTGCAAGAGGCTATATTCGCTCGATACATCGATAATAGAAATAGGCAACACAAGGCTTCATTAAGTCGCAAGAAACTCGAGCGCTATGCGGCCGAGTTGCGCGATCCATTTTCCTCTCGTTTTCCCGTCACCTTTCATCGTTGCAATCGTGAATGAACACCGTTTTTTCTTTTTTCTTTTTTTCTCCTTTGAGCAAACTCTCGATCGAACACGTTTCCGCATCAGCACAGATTTTTCCATTTAGATGGATCTCGCGATTATGGTGGTATGGTAAATCGAGTGAAATTGTCGGTTACGCATGCAAATCGGGTACACGTCGGTGTGAAACGAGCCGCTCTCATGATGAAATCATGGCGAATTAATACGCGGCAAGCACTGTGTGAAGTTTAAGGGTTTTTTCCATTGTCTCTTTTTTTGACAACAGAATTGAAAGGAACGAGTGGAGAAAAGAAACGTCGTTTAGATTTGAAGGAATTTTGCTGTCTGTGAGATTTGAATGTGACGAGAAGAGAAGGAAAAAAGTAGTGGTTAATATTTCATTTTTCCAATTTTGGAATGAATTGTATGGAGAAAATTGTCTTCGAAAATTACAGAACAGGATTTATAGCACGCGTTCTATATGAAGAACGTGGGTTTCCAGTGCTCGATTAAATTCCGAGTTACGGTACATTTTAAGTTATACTGAAATGTAGAGAAACAAGAATTAAAAGAGTTCTTTTCAAGTGTGCGTTTCACGAAACGAAGGTTTCGAAGTCATGCAACAATAATTAGGTATTTAGCACAGTCTGTGTTTGTGAAGTGTGAATTTAATTCCTTTTATTACGAATTCATTCGTTTAATATCTGGAAAAAATGTTGATATTTGTTACAAAGAGATTCATTAATTAACGATAATTTGTAAGATATAAATTAATTATAAAGATAAAAGTTTTAGCTTTAAAGGAAAAAAAAAAGATGATTCGATCAAGTGAAAGGAAATTATCGATTGACTTTTGCAATGGGTTACTTCATCATTATGCGTATAACCATCTGGACAATCGGAATGAATTAACTGAATATATATCGTAACATTTCCTCATTAATTGTTTCACACGCTGATCACAGGTGTCAATTAATATGTATCGAGGCGTAACCAACCAGTATTGCTCGTACAATGGATATAACAATAAGACTCTGTCGTAATTATACTAATTTTACTACATCAGTCTTCTACAACTTATCTTTATCCGAATCTCAAATAGTTATCTTTCATTATGCTTTCATGATTGATACACACGGATTATAAAAATATAAATATCGTATTTTATTACGTATCATTTTTGCTTACATACTCTTTTTTCTTAATCCATAAAGCGCCTCTTTATATTATTGCAATGCATATTCCGTTTTCAAGAGAGAGAGAGAGAGAGAAAGAGAGAGAGATGTTCGTAATAACTAAATCATGTATTTGCCTTTCAAGTATTATACTACGACTTGACCTGAAAGCCATATTGATACGCTCCTAATGGAAGAAGAACTCTGGCTCACCTGTTGGATCCCACGAGTCTTTCAAAACACATCCATTGAATGAAAACACTTTCCCGCCTATATACATGCACACCTCACTTCTGGATCTTCCTTTTACGATAAGGCTTAGAGAAAGAGAGAGAAAGAGAAAAAAAAGAGGATGACATCCATAAGAGATCCATCTGTTAATACAGAATGAATGAAATCATTCCATAAATTCACGGATCAACATTCTTTTTTTCTTTTATTTATATATTAATATAAAACTCAACATGTTGGTTGATAAATATAATTCTGAAAGAGAATTTTTTTTCAAAAAGATTAGATAAGTTGGAAAAATTATTAAAAAGAAGATATTATTGCGATTAGTTCGAATGGAATATTTTTAATTTCTAACAGAATCATTTCAGCATTTCATTTCAACGAGCAAGAATAAATCGGAGAGCATCTTTGAAATCTGAATTCATTTTTTTCAATTTAAGAAGTCAAGGATACTATGAGGAGTTGATTAATTTGTTTCCAGGTGAATATTCATAAAGGGTTACAGACACGCTAAGTGTACTTTCAACAGTTTCCACGCTTCATACTCGAGTGTCCTCGGTGGAGACGTGGAAGGAAAGGATTTAATTAGAATTTACAATGCCAATGCCAATTCTTCCCGGTTTAATCGAATCAACCCTGTTCCTCTTGGCGTACAAATGAATCGAATTAACTTCCAATAAATTTCGTAAATAACCTGACCCACAAAAGAGGCCAGCTAGTTCCAAGTCCCGCCTTTCTTCTTCCAGGCAAAATTACATTAAAGGTAATTAAATCCTGCTATAAACGCAGTTTCGTTGCGATCTCTCGAGTTCTCCAATTAACTTAATTGCACGAAAAACAATTTATTCGTTGTACTTTTCTCTCCATTCGATTATCGTTGTAAAAATTGTATTGCTTCAAATTGACTTGTCCAACGATATCAACGTTAATTGGACACATTTTTATAAAATTATATTAATCAAGAATTATTACATTACATTACGCCAATTACAATTTTTATTAATTGTAAAAATATATCCAAGAAAACTGTATTAAAGTCATAAAAAAAATATTATGACAATATCGAATTAGTTATCGTTTCTTTCAATAGGATTTTTAAAATGATATAAAATTATGATTTCGTTATTGCCAGTTGAGGTGAATGATTTTTAGGAATACACCGGATATTTAGTCAGACAGGCCGGAAAGGCGAAAATAATGTTCCGCTATGAGACAGGACATGGCCCTCGGAAATTGTGATTTACTTTCCCTCGGAATAATAATGCGTTCACGATACGGTAGGTTACTATCGTGCGTGGTTAGATGTTGCTCGTTCCACCCAACACGTTGTCGCATTTACATACTTCCTCATATTGCGCGCACACCCATGTGTTATTTATTTATTTATTTTTTCACTTGTTCAACGCGTACAACGCCTTCTCAGAGATTAATTACTATGCACTGTGATGAGGATGCGTCATTGAGGCGATAATACTGGGAAATGTCAGAGGTTTAACAGAGAAATTTATTATTAATGATGAAGATAGTTTCTTAGAAATTATATTTTAATTCAATTATTTTATCAATTATTGTATAAAATTCTGGAATAGAAAAAAGTTTTTTTTATCAGTCCAAATTTTTAATTAATGGATATCAATGTTAACATAACATTGTTCAAACTTTCAATCGATAAAAAAATTTTTAGATAAAATAACGATTCAATTTTAACAAACATGATATAAAAATACTGTAAAATTTTCATCAGAGTACAGTATTTTCATCTATATCCGAAACAAAAGTTTCGAAGCAAGGAAAAACTTGAGAATTTTCGATATTAATAACATATTATCATCAAGTATGTATCTTTAAATTTTCAAATTTAAGAGCTTGTTGTTACGTTGCACAAAAATTTGCGATTTTGTCAAATTTCGTGTCGATTTTGCGTATTTTTTAAAAAAAAATTAATTTTCTCACGTTTCAGGTGTTATGGCACCTCGATATCTTCCGGCGGAGTTTCAGGGAGCTTTCCGGACACGCTTGCATGCGGGAATCCTGCATCTTCTGCGCCCTCAAGGTAAGCTAGATGGATCTTTTTTCCCAACGTGTAAAACGAGAAAAAAGAATGAGAAGCTCATTAAAGATCCGGCATCGGGGGGACCTGACTGAACATAGTTCCTTGAGAAAAAGTGCTTGGATAGAAGACTGTCTCGTCACCGGATATTATTTACTAAAATCCATGATGAAACGGACAAATTGTCCGTGAAAGAGGAACATTTTCTTCTTTCATTTATCCATAATGAAACGAGGATGAGAGGAATGCGTGGAATTCCGTTGCTGCCCTTAGGTCATCGTTTGGAAATCTATCGCTTCACTGATTAGATTTCCTGTCTTGAACAGTTGTTATAATCAACATTTTTATATATCAATTTTTGGTATCTCAATTTTTCAATATGTTCAAAATATTACACATCTCCATGCACTATGAATAGC